AAGATATCCCTGGCAATAACTCTGAATTGTGCGACTTTGCCGTTCTTGAGCTTGAGATCTGGAGACACCTCGAGGACTTCCTGGCCGTAGCTCACGCGGTCCTCGAAATGACTCGCGCACCAGCGGAGATAATCTTCGTATTCGAGCCTGCTAGGGAGGAAAGTGTCTAGGTTGATGAAGGTATTGAGGCGGTTCTTGGAGAAGAGGTAGTTGATGAAGGTGAACTTCGAGCGGGGATTTCGTGGCGTAGCGAGGTCCTTGAGGAAGGAGATTTGCATCTTTGCGCCTGGGAGTTGCATGCCCGAGTGCCATGCGAATTGGGATTGGCGCTCGAGGAAGGAGACTTTGGCGGCGGTGGCGGCATCTTCGAGGGCGATGGCGATGGCAAGGGAGGCGGGTCCGAAGCCGATACAGATTAGGTCCTCGACTGAGGTTTGTGGCGATGCCTTCGTTGGCTTTGATCTATCCAATTTGTAAGTTCTGGGCTTTCAGGTCTCTTCAATTCTGTGTATTTACTCCGCATTTGTCTGGGGAATCATTTCCTGCAACTGAAGAATTCTGCTTTGACTTACACATGATCATTGTGATTCCACGAAAACTCGCCCACAATTTCTTGTGTATTCGAAGTCATTGCTGTACGATGTATGATTTGGTAAAATGTATCTGAGTACTCCCCAAACTTTCAAGTCCTTCAAGCAGTCCGGTTTATAGCGATTTCGGCCCTTCTCGCACTCTTCTCGTGTTCGATGATGGAACAAATCAGAACGAGTGTTTTACAAAGCCATTCATCCAATGGTAACCTATAAAGTACTTAGCAACCATCTCTTGCAGCGAACCAATGACCAATTAGCACCCCTCCAAAAAAACGAATCATGTGAATCATCACAGATGCTGAAGATTGCACCCGGAACAGAAGGAGTTGGGACGAGCAGAATCCCGGGATCGGAATGATAGAAAACCAAGGAAGAGTGCGTCAAGCATGAAGTCTCATCCTGATATTCTGTAGCCAGTGCGAAGAAAGAAGTTACATACCCAAAACGAGAAGCAAGTACCGTCAACCCAGTATTTCTACCAAAGAAAGGCTATTTCCAAATGCAGAAGCAGCAATCTCGGGTATGTAATTTCTCCAGGCGGGACAGGAAAGAAAGCTGTCGGTTCTGAGGAGAGCAAACTTGATACAGCTGGACACTGATGTTGAAGTGCAGCTATCAGGAAACGAAATTTTAGGAAAGAGAATAAGTAGCCTGCTGCCCAGTCACAAATAGCGTATCCGAGAAACAGACGAGTCCGAATTCCTCGAAAGCACCAGGGGATCGGAATCTACAACCTCGCTACACTTCCTAAGGAGGGCCTTGTTCGTTCCTGCCTGGTTATGTAGGGCTTGCCCGAGAACGTGGATACATCCACCCGACGCCGTGTCTCGCTGGTCTTCCTTCTTCGATCGCCATCTTCCAGAAGTCCACTTTGAAATTGTTCAAGGGTTCCAGAGTTCTCCCTTGATTTCCCGAGTCCTTGCAAGAGATTACGCCACTGCTACATCTGTACCATGCGACAAGGTTCAGGCTACCTTTCTGGCTCGTCACACCGAGCTGTCAGTAAGTGGGGGACCAACCTAGTCGACCAGTCGATGGAGATCTCAAGACAGACTGTGAAGAAGCCCGGTCCAGTAGAATTTCCATATCGTTTGGAGGGGGGGCTAGTGCCACTGCTAGGATATTGATCAGATCATCGAAAGATTAGATTATTTTTCTGATTCTGTGTGGCTGCGTTTACCCCTCCATCTCCACTTTTCTTTTCAGGTTGCACTTCGCTGCTTTATGCTTGCAGCTAGGCACCATGAATGGCGCATCCGGCACACACCTGGACAAGCCTCTGGAAAAACATCGATCGAACTCTGAGATGTGGGGGATGATTTCTTTAGGGAGGTGCTGGCCTCGACTCGTCATCGGCTGATTGTTGCTGCTTGTATTACCGACGGTACACGGCCGATGTCGTGCTACTAGGTACGATAGAAATAGTGGCATGAGCATACCATGCTCATGCGGGGCGAACTTTGGGCTGCAGCTGACTAGGTAAGTAGAAGTGGGAAAGTGGGATGGAAAGATTTTTCTTCTTCTTTTCTGTTATCTTATTTTATCAGATCATCAAAAGTGGACGCCGAGGTTGCCGGAGGGCTTGGATTCGTTGTTTGGGGGCATGGGTGAAAAGGTGCTTGGTAGGGATCGGTAAAGGGGGCATTAGAAAGCACTCATTGAAAAATCAAAATGCAAAAAGAGTCTGCATGTTCCCTTGTAAGACATTCTACTGGAAGAATTATAGAATTATCTCACCGAAGCTTTCAAATGCTATCAATGAGCTTGTGTGCCTTTGGGATCAAAGCGTAGATTAATGGTCAGAAAATGTAAGCTGTTAAAGTTACAACAGGACACAATACAAAACTTGATCGAGGCATTCTTAATACTGTTACTGGTCGCAAACACTGGTATTCTAAATGCTATACGGCAAACCTTTTATACTCCCATCGAGCCTAGCTTCCTCTAGAAAATATGATCTTCAGCTTGGTGTTCTTGGACCTTTGACTTTGCATCCATCCTAACCCTTTCCCCCTGAAGATTTATACTTATGCCGCCTTCAGTACCGCAGAGATTCTGTGCTCCGGACAAATCCCCAGAAGCGGAAGGTACCCGAATCCGTACAGCAAGCATTCTTTGAGTATCATAGGATCAGAATCGCGAGAGCCGGCGTGGCAATAGGCATCGAACATCCCGCGAGAGATCAAGAAGCTGTATAGAACTTAGCAATGTGGAGCTATTCAATAACTTGCTGGGCTTCCCGTCTGCTCTGTGGACATTTCCTAAGTAGCAAACATCACACGGGGTTTCCTGCCGACTCTTATCTCAGCTGCATGAACTTATTCACCAGTCCGCCACCACCTCCCAGCACACGAATAGCTTCTACACGTCTGGCACCTTGTTAACTGTCACTGTTAAGTTGTCAGACAAATCTACAGTAAGATCCACCCTTCCGTATTCGTTACGCCTTTGCTGTGCAAAATATAATCATCTCCTTTCTGGCAGATCCTGTTCTCGGGACCGAGAGGTCTATCTTGTTGGAACGCTCAAACTTATTCCAGCTTTCTCGTCATCGTCATCGACATTACCGAGTCAAAAAGGATACATCGCCAAGGGCGGAATTCAAGAGTCTCAGCAGGGCTTGAACATGCTTGGCTTATGACTGCCTTATATGCACCTAACAAACCACTCCTCCGACTTCGGCAGTCTGTTTACACTGTAGACTTTCACATGGAATTCCAATTGACCGCGGCAGCAGCGGACTTTGAATGTTATTATGATACCATTTTGACACGACGGGAGAGGGTCATCCATTCACAGGCTCTTGGTGACATCCTCTCAGCAAAATCGAGTACTGTGAGGGCATAGAAAAAAGAAAGAGTACACGACAACCCATGCAAGACAAGACCGAGGAAAAAGTTTTTCTCATCGAGCAGCATGTAGATGCTAGAACGAACCAGGAAATACGGAGGTGACCCCGGTACATTTATGCAGGTTCAGGGTTTGCATGTGCGCTGTCTTTCTGCTGGACGGAGCTGGAGGGGGGTCATCTGATAAGATGATCTGATTAGATGTGTTGCGTCCACTTAATCCATCTGTTTCGCAAGCGAGGGCAGGGATATCTGCATTCAGAGGGGATGAGACGGGACGGGAGAGATGGGTTGGGTTGTTGTCTCACCGCGGATCTGATAAGATTGTTGGACGTGATTTGATTGTTTGGGCGCTTGGCTTGCTTAGATGTGCGTTGGCATTGGCTTGTTTGGAGCCCCGTTGTGGCCTCCGAGTGCATGATGGTTCGGTAGACTGAGTTTGACAGCTCCGTCCGAAGATTCTGAACCAGTGGTAATTGCCTCAACGAATCGTTCTCAAGTTTGGCGGTAAGTACCGTGTCCGTCGGGCCGTCTGACATGCTCAAATTCTTATCTGGCCAAACCGCTGCGGTTCAAAGGTTTTCAAACCTCAAGCTCGCAGTGTCCATCTTAGGGGTGTATGTAACAATCATGGCTTGGAGTTCCCGCTGCTGTATCATAACGGCTTCTGGGTGGTTTTCCTAATTCGCTTTTTTGATTCCGTGATCGGAACCTACTGGTACAGAACTTGGCCTTGTCTTTTGGACTCGGACGAAGACCTGACTTTGCTGCAGACGATACTGTAATGCGGCGCGCAAAGACTAAGGAAGTCGCCTTGAGATAAACAACTTTGCATGTACAGTACAAGACTGGGGAAACACGACAATTCAGGATCACACACATAGCTGTTCTAGCAAGCAACGGAAATTATACGCCTTCTACTGAGACTGAGCCATCATATTTTGCAGCAGGCCAAATTTGCTCCTTGCTTCAGGACGAATAGAAGAAAAATACAATGATATGAAATCTCCGAATGAGCTCGTCTATCATTCTTTCAATGTCTAATGGTAATATACCCTTAATTTCAAACAGAACAATTGTCTTTTGGGTGTAAAGCTTTGAAGTGGTGGTTGAGAGTTGCTAGTGAAGAAAGAGTGCGTTATCGCCAAGTGCCCAGAGCAGCCTGGAAATGCGGCATGAGCGCCCCTGAAAATTGCCTGGAACACCCAACTAGAGCGCCGGAGATAGCCGGCATCTGTAATTTTAGTGCCTTCACATCGCTAATTGGAGTAAATCTGCATCTGTTGGTGCAATGCTAGTGAACGATGAAAGGGTTTTTTTTTGGCTTGGTAATTTAAAGCATGGTTCTAAATACTCCGCTGGCACCTCATTGTTGACTATTCATTATGAATGAGTATGAGTAAGGTAGACTCACTAATTCCTTTGCTGTTCAAGCGGCAAAATCAAACAGTGGGGTGAATTTCCAGGAGCCAACCAGGACTCTCAAAGCTTTTCCATCGCACACCACTTTGCTAATACTTTATTATATTTAAATAAGGCGTCCTGCAGCATGGAAACAGGTCGGGTGGTGTAGTTGGTTATCACATCTCGTTAACAGTTTACTGTGACATATTCCGAGAAGGTCCTGGGATCGAGCCCCAGCCTGATCATTTCCTTTTAGATAGTTTCGACTTTCGAACTTTTTTATTAGTGTATTAGTTGTCTAAGGTGATGAAGCATTAATGTTCTCATACTTATAAAATTGAGGGCATCTGTTTGTTGATTGCTTGCCTTCTTTATTCGCCATTCCTTTGAGCGATTTCCAGCAGAATCTCAAGTGTGTGTGGACGCCGGGCTGCAAGCGAGTTACGATTACCCCGCTATTAACCCCGCTTCCCAGCCAAACGACTTATCTGCCCTATGTTTTTTCCCCCTTTCTGCTAAACGAGAAAAGACTCTATATTTTTATTTACTACTCAAACTATACGAAACAAAACATAACAAGCGACTACTATTTTTCTTTCTTCCATCTAAATCCTCGTCACCACCCAACTCTCTCAATGACTCGCCCTATATAGCTTCTTGATCCCCGGCGACTCCAGCCCCTCATCCTTCCGCTCCCTCCTCCTCTTCCCCTCCTCCCTCCCAATTATCTCCAACTCCCTCACCGAAACCGCGACAAAAACACTCCATTTCTTCCCTCTGCCCCCTCCCTTGCAGCCAAAGCGCCAGCTTCCCTTTGCACATCCGCACACAACCACATCCTCCTATCCACACTTTCCTTCCCATCCTCCACCACAGCCAGGCAAGCCGATATCCTAACCTCCGGGTACTTTAGTGCCCGCGATTACATCCAACAAAGCACTTATATCGACCTCCACACCATGATTCTCACCAACCACGATGTCTTCCAGTAACTCCCTCGGCTTGTCCACTTCCTCTTGATCAACATCTACCTCCTCGCCGCCACAATCCCCATAAATAAAAGCTGCTGCCTCAACGCCTCTACAACAATATCCGCAACCGTAACAGCACTCTGCCTCACCGCACTCGCCGCCTTCAAAAACTTCCTAATGCGATCCCCCACCGGTCTGTCCCTTCTTTTCGGGAACCCCCCGTCCAGCAACCGGATCAGGCTTCGCATCCCTCCCCCACGTCATCTCCGGGAAAGAATTCTCTTTCGTATACGTATGTATACCCGATGATCTGTTCCGACTTCAGGGCATCGGCGCTACAGCTCGAGACGTGCGTTATCCAGTACGAGAGCTGCTGGATGGGTGTTCTGGATGAAGAAGAGGGGCATGAGCCAGCGGCGGGCGATGGAGCTGGTGATGAAGGTGGAGTGGTATCTGAAGAGGCCGCGTAAGGGGTTTTGGATCTAGCCAGAGGAGAAGGTGGTGCCCGTTTGGCGAGGGGAAGATGACTTGCCCGAGGGAAGGGGGAGGTGAAGTTGGATTTTGTGCGCATGGAGAGGTGGTCTATTTGGCTGCCGAAGCACTGGGAGGAGGAGTCGGTTATGTCAACTCATTTCATGTCAAAGATTGCTCGAGCCGAACTTGTAAAGGGTAGAGAGGATCTTACGGCATTTCCCCATGATCGAGCGAGTTCGCATATTGCTTCGTCTCGGAAGAACTTTCGTCGAGTTAGTGGATGGTTTGGTCTGGTTTTTAGACAGGAGTTTGGCTAGTTGTCTTGAACTTACGGGCTCTGATCCTCTGGCAACGAACGGCGTTCGACAATTTTGCCTGCATGTAATTCCCAAAAGCATGCTACAGGAAAGCTCAGTAAGTTGATTCCCATTCCTTCAGTAAGCCCAGGTTCCTCACCATAGTTTCATGCACCAACTGTCACTCGAGATCAGTGTCATAACCCATCAATCACCAAAACAAGGCCATACTGACTATCTTAGCCACACATAACTGCTGGCTGCACCAACCGTTCCGAAAACGTCAAATCCCCCGCCAGAAGCGGCAGCGCCATCTCAGAACCCAAGTGCGGCCTCCCCGTATACTCCTCCTCATACACAGCGCCCGATTCAACGACCGTGTACGAAGGTGTATGCCATCCTATACATACACCAGATTACCATTCCCCGCCCTCTGCGATCTCGCTACAGCCGAGCGGATAGAGATTGAGATCTTGGATTGAAGGGCAGCAGCGTAGGTCTCGAATGTCTCTTTGCTATGTTGCACGACTACGGGGTCGCGGGGGTAGAATTCAAAAGGTGCGGTGCTTGGGATGGGATTCAGGACAGCCATCTTTCGTATCGTTGGGTTAGTGGACGTGACTTCTGTACAATGAGGGGGAGAAGAGGAGGGCGTCTCACCCATTATCGTCAAGTGTCAAGTTTCTGCGGGCGAAACTTGATTTAGTAATCGGAGCGGCCAGGACGAGGACGAGGACGAGGACGAGGACGATTACGATTTTTTTTTTTTGTTGGAGATGAATGACTGACTAAGGTCCAAGTAGCAGAATGCACTAAAATCCGCAACGCCAGATAATTACTTACACACTTGGATCCAGCGCCCCCCTTCTCACAGCCTCATTCCCTCGAACATCTCACTTTCTTGCGTTTCTATCCCGGATATCCTCGCTAGTATCGCCCGTCTCACATATCTCGTAGGCGATAATCGGGTGGGATGGATGAGGCTTGTTCTGTGTAGGGCGGAGGGGATGGATGAAAGCCTATTCTATGTTATTGCGGAGCTCGGCGATCGTGAAGCCGTAGAGTTAGGTGCGGTAGTGGGTGTTGTGGAGGTTCTTTTGGAGAGGTCTTCGGCTGGGAGGGGATTAGGGTTGGGGTTGTGATATTGTGGGATGGGGATTTGGGCGGAGTGCCGGATGGGGTAGGAGGGGTTTGTTGAGGGGGCGGTGGGGTTGAGATGAAGGGGAGAAGGTTCTTACTGTTGTTGTTATTGTTGATCATGGCGGTCTATAATACTTCAAGGAGCGACGATTGGTCTTTCTGTTGAGGGTGAGGATGAGGATGAGGATAAGAATGCAGAGGAGAGAGGAGGAGAATCGCCAGAAGGTCCACGTAGGTTGCTCATCCCATTACTTTCTTCACACGTCTACGTACAACACTTGCTTACTAGAACAAGAACAAGGCGAGCAATCTGATACTTCCGTCTCTTTCGAAATCAAGGATCAATGTATGACATGACATCATTTCCCCTGTCTGTCGTGATGCACCAAAGGATGAAGATCTGGGTTTGTTGACAGTGCATCTTGGCGGGCACTTCTTTGTACAGTACCCGAGAGGTCAGAGCCCACTTTCGGCAAAATACCACTGGATGCAGTCGAGTAGAACATCACATGAGTCCGAGTCGACCGTTTCTCACTCGCATATTCTTTTTCTTTTCTCGACTGGATGCGAGTAGATGTCGCTTGAACCCGAGCCGAGGATGAGTATTGATACTGAGGGGGTAGGCCTGAGAAACACGAGTACACGGTAGAGAAAGTGACTCTATTAACACTACACTAGGTTATACTTTTCCTGGTCATTCCGTTAGTAGAGAGTCTATTTTAAGCATTGTGCGATAGGTTGGATCCTCCCATGCTATTTTTGATCAGGTGTTGTATAGCACGTGCGGCGGTTATCACGTCTTTCCAAGCCTCACGGGCTTTTCTCTATTGTATGAGTGTCAGGGGCATTGAATTTGCTACTAGTTGCTTCGATACTTCACGTTCATGGCGTGTTGGCCTTCGCTTCCCATTTCTCTTTGGCTTTGAAGGTTCTCCAACCAAGGTGCTTCGAAGGCGAGTTTGATTATCATGGTATTGATCCCTTCCGTCCGCTAGTATTCGAGAAGTAGTTACTATAGGTAGAATGTAATCTTTTCACCTCGGCGAACGTCATATGATTGATTGGGATGACTTGCTCGTCGATTGATTACTATGGGATGGATTCAAGCAGCTAGGCGAACGAAATGCCATTGCCGCAGCTGCAAAGGATGATTGATTACTTACTTACGCGAAGGTTCCCAAGAAAGGGACAACCGCGTCGGCGGGACTGGGGAAATGAGAGAAGGTAGCGCAGCCCGATCGCATCTGGCATAAAGAACTTTGGTATTACTCCTCATTTCATTCTTCCCATGGCAGCGGTGCCGTCCCAGTGGGAACACTGGTTGCAGCGACTACTCACTATCCATGTGTCCAGGTGATATGAAAATCCCGGGTTCAAGGAACGCTAGAAGCGCAAAGTAGACGGGCGAATCAGAGCAGGTGAACGCATGTCAATAAATCCCATATTCCGGAGTCCAGTAGTGCAGGTGTGCAGTAGTGCAGTAGTGCAGTTTTCAGAAGCACATGTCAAATTGGCTTTTCCAGGTCGGTGGCACGGCGCCAGTTCAGCGTTCATCACTCACTCACTCACTCACTCATCACAGGACTAGAACTAATCGTCATTAGCAGGACTACCAAGTAGGGCTGGGGTAAAATTAAGAGCGGGCGCGCGCAAGGTTTCTCTCCAGACTCCTCCTCCACTGCAGGCGTTTCTAGCGTCGGGTCACAGCCAAGAGGAACAGCCTCTCGATCACCTGATAGGCGCGCATAGAGCCCTCTCGAATCCACATCCAGAGACGAACAGTCGTCGATTGGAGCGCGTGAGAGAGTTCCCCATGCGTGGGCCCGCCGTGGTCGAAGCTTGTCAGGCTGGAGGTGCGTGATGGGCTGGGGCGGCCAATTAGCTGTGGTGCTAGGATGAGCTGCCCGGACGCCGCTACCCGATTCTTCCATGTGCTCCGTGGTGTTTCTCCACAGAACATCAGGGCCAGCGCTAGAGGAGAGGAGAGGAGCGGAGAGGAGATGATGAGGAGAGCAGAGGGTCAAGATGAGGAGAGTAGAGATGAGGAGCGGAAGGGCAGGGCAGACACACATGCCTGAAGATGGAGATGGAGGGGATGAATAGACGAAGCGCGTCGAGGTGCGTCCAAGGATGAGGTGGTCGGTCAGCTTGCTTGATAGCCTGTCCTAGCATCGTGCAGTAAGCTACCCGAGCAATGAAACGGACGGACTGGGGAAATGGCAGTGTATGGACAGTTGGGAGTAATATCCGGTGTCAGGAAGGTCGAGAAGTTAAGTTGAGTGCGGTAGATTGACAGGAGATGACAGACAGATAGACAGACAGGGCATGGGTGGATAGCTTATTTATTACTCTATCTACTACAGA